TGAAAGGCCTTTGTGTTCCTACTGGGGCTGCAGCATGGACATGGGGGGTTCAGGTGTCAGCAGAACAGTCCTGGAAGCTGCCCTGGGGTCATTTATAAAACAACTACCGCCTTGATTCCTGCTTTTCGTGTTCTCCGACCGGTGACCAGCCTGACCTCACCAAGCCTGGATGATGGGCAGATACATCAAGTGAAGCTCAATAGTGAAGGCTTAGAGGGCCAGAGTCCCGAGGGAGGGCAGAAACGTGGACAGGAGGGGAACAGAGAGTTGAGGAAATTGCTTTTAGTAATTGGTTTTTCTCTCACACAGTTTCATGTTGCTGAATTGCTGTTGTGGAAAATCTGAATCAACATAATCTTTCCTCCAGGGTGTTTAAACCCTGAGGTCGATATTCTGCAAATGATAGGTTTTCTATACATTCAAAACAGAAGAGAGAAGAAAGTAAAACAAGAAAAAGAAAAAATAATCTGTGACCTATAGTTGATTTTATTTTCCTTCCTCTCATTTACCCTTAATTTTGTAGAACTTTCTGGTTATTTAGTTAACCTGAAGGAGGAGAAAGTTGCTGATCTATTTAGTTTTTCTTATTCCTAGGAGGAAGTGGTAGGTGTATTTTCTCTGGAGATTAGTTTTATCAGTTTGGGAGGCCTGTCAGGTATAATTTAATTTAATCTATGAGAAGAAATGACAGAATGCATTTCAGTTGAGCCATCTAGAGACTTGCATTCATTTTTAAAGAAATCTGTTTTCTCTTATTTAGGAATTCTGGGATTCTTCTGGCTTTAGGTTTCACGTACTTTTGTTGATTCTCTATTTTTTACCTCCTAATGCTAATTCTGGAACTGATGGCATTCACATTGTGGAATGTTTGATGATAAACCATATTGATTTCTAAAATGTTTACCTTTTCAATGTTGGTGTTTTTTGGTCACTTCGAACTTTAACACATAGAAATGTCACACATTATGCTCATAGGTAAGCCAGCCGGGGGCATGGCTCATATCAACCCATAGTCAAAGGTGATGTTTCAGTCATTAGGTCCCACTTTGTTGGGGGCAACGGTAGGGGGAGACCGACTTTCTTCCTCAAAGATCAAAATAGTTTCAGTTCTCTTCTGACACCATCTGCATGGAATTAGTGTTGGATCCCACAAGTTAAGAGCTCAGTGCGGTAAAACTGCCTGCACACCTGAGGCCAGGTGCACACGGGTGCGCAGGCTACCCACACTTCCATCCAGCTGAGGTCACATTTGGAGCTTCCCACCACCTACTGTTGGGTTCAGTGATTTTCTAGAACAACTTACAGAACTCAAGAAAATACTTACATTTACCAGTTCATTATAAGAGATACAGCCCAGGACAGCTGAATGGAAGAGATACATAAGGCAAAGTAGGAGGGCAGGCGGGCACTTAGCTTCCATGCCCTCTGTGGGCTTCCCCTTCCTTGAACCTGGTTTTGCTCACCAGCTATGGGAGCTCTCTGAACCTTGTTGTTCAAGAGCTTTTATAGCCTGATCTCCAGCCCCTTGCTTTCCCTGGATATAGGGGGTAGGGTGGGGCTAAAAGTGCCCACCTGCTAGTCTCAGGGTTGATCTTTGTGCTGGCACCGCAGGCACCTATGGTCCCCACCCTAAGTCCCCTCATCTTACTAGAATAACATTAGGTGGGCTCAAAATGGCTCTTTATGAATACAAAATTCTCTTATTCTCAGGAAATTCCAAAGGTTTTAAGAACCCTCTGCCAGGAGTGTGGGACAAAGACCAAATACATTTCTTATTATACCGTAATGTATTATTTTTTTAACAGAAAACTTTTTCTCTCAAGCTCTCCTCCTATAAATACCTCCATGCTTGTGCATGCACACACATTTAACACACAGTTTCCTGTGGGCTCAAGGCACATTCTAATGGAGCCACTTCTCAGACCCATAGAAGAATGAATTCTAATGGTGCATTTAGATTAGGGCCCCTTCCTCCCTGTGTGTCCTCTTAATGACCCCATACCATCATACTTTGAAGATTTAATGAGAAGGGGTCACACAGAAATAAGAAGATAAGGAAAATCACAGACTCTTCTAGATGATGTGGGAGTATTGGAGTTTCTAGGCTGATGTTCATTTTCAGGTACCCAGTATGAACCCAGGTACTCTCTGAAGGAAGATTTTGCCCTGAGCCTCAGCCTTCCAGGGACTTGCTATAAAAGTGGGAAGTGAATACTTTGAGAGGATAGAAAACCTCTTTCTGGAATTTGATTGTTTCCAGGCCCTTTTCCACATCATTCTTCAGACATCTCCATGGAAACCCATGGGCTCAGCTCATGAGCTCTGTTCCCTCCCCAAGGCCACACAGCTCCGAGGTGCCCGCTGCAGCTTCCAGCACCAGCCTGGCACTCACTCTTCACCTTTGGCTGCATCTCCATTATTACAGCCCTCATGTCCTGCAGGATTTTGTGAAATAGAGGAATCCCTCCACCACACACTTTTTAAAAAACCATCACTTATCACACACTTACCAGGGCCACGTGACTTTTACCTGTTGCCACACACACTATCTCCTTTCTTCCTGCCTACAAGAAACTGCAGCTCAGAGAGGGTGATTTGCCTGCTTGAGCTCACACAGCTTGTCTCTGCCAGAGGCTTGGTGCAAATCTAGGTCAGTCTGATGGCAGAGCTCCCTGTAGCCCCCGATTCTTCACTGGGGTTGAGTGGGTGAGGAGGCCCAGCTTGGGTTTGGAGTACGGGAGAGTGATGTGAGCAGCTGGGCAGCACCTTCAGCCCACATTGTTGTGGCGGGAAGTCCGCCGGTGCAGAGATTGGATTGGAAGAACCAGCAGTGCAGAGCCCAAGGGTTGCACTGCTTGACATCAAATGATGCGGCTTGAGTCCTGACCTGGTGATTAAGAAGGTGTCACTTCTCATTCCCCAGCCTCCTCTTGTGAATAGGGATAGTAATCATGCTGACATCCCTGGATCGTGGCAAACAAGTTGTATGCACAACACTGAGCAAACAAAATGGTCATGATACACACCCCCAGGGCACATGCCGCTGAGTAAGAACATGAGGTGGGAGACAGGAGCAGATGTGACAGTGCTGTGGTGCCTCCTGCAGCTCAGACATCATGTCCACTGGAAGAGGTGTAGGACCGACCAGCCATGAGCTCCCATTTCCTGCTCTGCCCATCACGTCAGCAGGCAACAGGTGTGGGCACTTGCCTACCACACATGCCTTGAGCGGCAGTTCTGGGAGCCCAGGGACCCTGACCAGCTTGGTGATGGTAAGTGATACAGTGACAATGACAGGGAAGTGCCCAGCCCAGAGAAGCATCCCAGGTGAGATAGAAGATGATGACAAGGAAAGCACAGGTATAAAGGGGCTCTATGCCCAGAACAAGGGAGAGAAAAGAAGGGAGTTTGAGGCACATGGTATAGAGGTGGAGCAGATGGGCAAATACTTTGGCTGGTGCCCAGGCACTCCTGCAAAATGACTTGAACAAAACTGGCCCTTTTTGGGTGCTGCCCTCCACTCTCCTCCCCTGGACACACATATCTAATTAGAAACATCAGCTGCTGGGTCTCTGACTAAATGCCCCAGATTAATACTACTCATTCTCAGAGGTCTGTGGCTATAAAATGACATTACTCAACTGGATATTCTCTCTTCTGTGACTTCAGACAGTCCCGGAATTGGCTTTCTGAATGCCTGCCTGTCCTTTTCAGAAGATGGTGGCATCTCTGGGACACGTCCTTTGACCCTGTTGCCATTCTCAGTAGGTCTAGGCCTGTAGCCCCTTGTCTGGATTTCCCAAATCTCAACAGCTCTGAAAATAAAAGTTTTTCTTTTCCCTCCTTGATGTTGTTATTGCTAACTTTGCATATACTTATTGGGTCTAAAATCAACTGAATCTGATGTACGATGGAGGCATTTCTATGTCTCACAGTATAAATATGTATGTTTTGTGCAGAAATAATAACGTGTTTGGTTATGGGGAGATGGCCTGGTCCTGGCTGGGGGTGTTGCTGCACATGCCTTTCTACATCTGAGAAAGTTGGAGCTCCAGAGCACAGGTGGTCCCAGGGGGACTGGATACGGAATGGGAGCCTTTCCTGGGGTCTGCCTTGAGTGTGGCACACTTGTGGGGGCTGCTGAGCCCACACCTGCCAGCTGTGCGCCCCTAGCTGGGTGGTGCCAGTTGAATAGAAGCTGCAGCAAGGCAGGAGCCTACCTGACAGTCTTTACAGAGCTGGTGGAGCTCAGGTAGGGCGGGTGTCTGTGATCCTGGGACAGAAGACCCCAGGCATGGGTCTTCCTTGGGCAAAAGTCCCTTAGGAACCCACTTAGGGCCTGGCCCTGAGGAGGTGCCCCCTGTATTCACGTGTTTATGACTGTTTCCTGAGTCCTCCCCTGCACCTTTGTGTTCTGATCCAGCATTGTACTGCCAAGGTCAAGTGTATGCATTTTGGGGTTCTGAGATCAGAAGTACTGTTCTGGAATGAAAATAAGAATTCAAGTCCAAAAACATGTCCTTAGAAGTTCCCAAAGAGGTTCCTCTGCAGCTGCACCAAGTTATTTCATGGAAGTAAATACTCTACATTTTTTCCAGCCTTGTTCTTGTTACAATTGAAATGAGTGAATTTATTTTCCCAAATGTTCTTTCAGTGGAAAACTTTGAAAGCAGAACAGTTACCCATTTGGCTACAAAAACCCATTTGTGGGAAGAGAAGGCTCAGGGCATGCAGTAGACTGGAATTAACTTTAATGCTGCTATTTGAATGTGGTCATTGTGACAGCAGAGTCTTAAAATGTGATTTTTATGCTATTCATGGTCAACTTGGAAGGGTTTATTTTAATTCCCAGTTTCCTTATATTTTATAGATAGCAATACAATTATGTAAATTGATATCTGTAACTCTTTCTGCTTTGAATTTACCTAATAATCTCTTACAAGAAATAATAGTAGGCAAGGAAACAATGCACCACTAATGTCATTGTCTGTGTGTGTCAGTCTTGGACAGATCATTATTTACAATGGAATATGTCAGACTATCCTGGTGTGCAGACTGTTCGTTTCCCAGATGGCCAGATTTGGAAGCCAGACATTCTTCTTTATAACAGGTAAGCACATGAGACAAAAGGAAAAACGATTTTATTCTTGCATACATTTAACAATCGTGTGTATGAGTATTTTATAGACATACCAGATACGTCATCTATAACTGGGGACTGTTGCTCCCCACCAAGGTTTGTAACTGGTCCAGGCCTTCAGAAAGCAGCTCTGTCTCCCTCTCCTTGTCTGCCATGGAGTACAGGCTCATGTCTCCCAATATTCTGTGTAAGATGGCTGTACCATAGAGCTGTGCACTATAGGCATGCAAATTTTTTGTGCATATTGATGCTGAGGCATTTTTACAGGTGGCACTACCCCTGTCCCTGAATAGTTATGGTCACAACATGAGAAGTTGGTGGTCTGTAGAATGCATGACTGGAGTCGACTGCACGCAGGTCCTCATTTGATGCATTCCCCACTGTGCAATGGGAGAGTCCTGCTGCAGAGATAGCTGAGTGCATGAGGACTGTCACCTCTAGCTGGACTCAGAAGCTTGTAATGCAGGTTTATACCCAACAGAAGAAAGATGAATAGCCATCAAGTTCTAGTAGTCTTCCTCCTGAGGTCAGGAAATGAGGGATTCATCTGTAATCCAAGGCACTCTGATTTGCAGACCAGATGCCCAGGAGGCAAGTATCCAGGCAGGGTAAATTTCTAGAAGCACTGAAATCCTGTGCTAAACTACATAGTCAAATAAGGGGATCCAGAACATCTCTTCTCAGTAATGTCTAGAATGTGATAATAAGCTTGATATAAAAGCAAGAGATCTCCTAGTGATGACTGCCGCCTTTGGCTCCACCTGAACAAGAAGGCAGCCCTGTGCCTTCCTGAGTCAGGAAACGGAGCAGCCATCAGCCCCAGCCCTCGGTGGTCGCACAGCGTCCCCCCAGCACCTGGATCAGCTGATGCGTTAGTCCTACACTGGCTGCTTCCAGAAGGCTGGGTGATTCCATTTCTTGTATCAACTTTTGATGCTTTCTCTATCTTTCTTACTGGTGATCCTATTTCATTTGAATCAGTAGAAGAATATCCCTTCCTGGTTTGTTGCCAGTCTATAGTTTCTTAAGTTAGTTCAGCAAACTTGGCTTTGAAACATGTCCCAAGTGAGAGCATGTGTCCCCTACTGAGCAGGTGGAGCACGTGAAGTCTTGGGCCTGGTCTCTGGGTCATCTGTTTCCTGGGGGCTTGTCTTAGTTTCCAGGGGCCGCCATAACAACATTCCTGAGACAGGGTGACTTAAACAGCAGAGATTTATTTTCTCACAGATATTTATGTTCTCTCGGAGGCTGGAAGTCCAAGATCAAGGTGTTAGCAGGGTTGCTTTGTCCTGAGGCCCCTCCCTGGCTCCCAGTCGGCCATCTTCTCCCCATGTCCTCTCAGGGTCTTCCCTCTGTGTGGGTCTGTATCCTAATCACCTCTAGTAAGGACAGTAGTCATATTGGATTAGGGTCCACTCTGATGACCTCATTTTAACTTAGTTACCTCTTTAAAGGCTTGATCTTCAAATACAGTCACATTCTGATGTACATAGCAAGTAAGACCTCAGCATATGAATTCGGGGGCATAATTCAGCCCATAGTAGGCCACTGTAGTTGGGTACTTAAAGACAAAGGGTTAGGATTGAACGAGTCTGGCTGCAAAGCTCAGCCATAATACTTACTCTGTCTATAACCGTTAAGTCCCAGCTTCTTCTTTGCAGAGTGGGGGAAACGCCAACTTCCCAGAGTTTGGAAGGATAACGCTAAAGATGTATGCTCTGTGCTTGGAGTGGTACTTGGCAAAGGGTAAACCTGAAGTAATGGCAGTTATGTGTTTACAGGTATGATAATGAGGATTTCTGCCAAGATCAGATAGTCTGATGATTTAAAAAGAAATGTCAGTGATGTTTTTTCATTGTTCCCAATCCAGTTTTTTCATCTGAAATCAAAAATAAATATTATGATACGGTAGAATCTTAATAATGAGACTAGATAGTTCTGATGGCTTACATGTAGAACTTTAAATCCCAATAAATAAAATGTTTGATGATTCTAATGTTCTGGCTAATGAAGAGTTAGCAAGTATTCTATATTTAACAGAATTTCAGGGAGCAAGGATATAGCAGTCTCTGCCTGACAGATGTTACCAGGGGCCAGGCTCACAGGAAGAACCCTCCACCCCCCGTGTCTGACCTAACTGGTGGTCCCAGCACCCCTTTCTTCCCATGTTTCCCTTTGTATGCTAAATAACCATCTTCCTCTTTCCTCTCCTCCGCATAGGCCTATAGGCCCCGTCCTCCAGTTTCCATCATGGAATTTGTAGAGGCTAAGAGATACAGGCTATCCTTTCTGAAGTAACTGCTAAATATATGGCTTGCATGTCCACATGAGCCCAGTGTGGAACAAGTAGATTATGGAAGATATTTAAGCCATTCATAAACACAGTATCAGTTATCTTTTGCTGCATAACAAACTAACTTGAATTTGCTGGCTTTAAAAAAAAGAAGAAATGCATTATTATTTCTTGTCTGTGGGCTGACTGGGCCCATATGGCTGCTCATCTATTTTGTGAGATGTTGGTGGAAGGTGGTAGGCTGGGTCTCAGATAAGCTGGAGTGTGGAGAGGTGTACCCCCACAGCTGGCGGTGATTGTGGCTGTTAGTGGGAGCTGGTGGCACTGTCACTTGTGCCACCTTGGCTTCCTCTGTGAGCCTTTTCCACGTGGAGTGGGCATCCCTCAGTGTGGTGGCTGGGTGCAGCCAGGAGGAAGGGTGTGGGGCTGCCAGGCCCCTTAGGCACTGAGCGTAGGATCCCAGAACAGCTCATTCACCACCTTCCGTTGGTTGGAGGAGGTGGGCCCACCCCAGATCAGGGGAGGAGAAATCAGCCCCTTCTATCCAGGGCATGTGGGGAGGGAGGGAATGAACGCATGCTCTGTGGAGACTAGCTATTCCATGCTGAGAAAGGAAAGTGGGGGAGCAGGAAGGTTAGATTAAAGGCTTGGGGGAAAATGAAGGTGCTGGCTGGAAGGAGCCCTCAGCCAAGTGCACCCTGTAAGGGCCAGAAGGAGGGGGCAGCATGAGTAGGCAAGCAGAGACAGCTTCCCAACACAAAGTGACCTCATCCCCTGCCTCCGTCCACTGGCTTCCCTCTGCCGTCCGGTGCATATTGGAATACAGACTCCTCGTACACCTGCAGCCAACTAGATGTTTTCTCTTCAGCTCACTGATGTGTCCTGGCTCTTTCCCACCACAGGACATTTACACAGCTTCCCTCTTGGCATGAAATGTTCACCTTCTCTCATCCCTCAGAGCTCAGGTCCACTCCTGTCCCCACTGAGTCCCGGATGCTTTTCTCTGTCACGTGCTCTCTGAGAAAGAGATTGCGGTACCCTGTAGTACCTAGGCTCTGCTACCTCTCCTGGGTGCCCAAAGAGTGCTTAATAGATATTTGTGCACAGAGGGGATGAAAGGAGGGGAGGAGGATGCAGGGACTAGGAGGAGGGGCAAAGAGTACGGCCCATGTGACGCTGGTGTTGCTCTGAAAAGCAAGAGGGGAGAAAAGGAAAGAAGTTACTCTGGCCACCCGGATCACATGAAACTGTGACTGAGTCCACAAATTGACACAGGAAGTAGCAAAAACGGGCTTGAATTTAAAAAGATCCTGACCTTCTGATATTCTGTTGTTTGGGATTTCGAGACATTGAGCTTAATACTCCGCACCTGCTTCGGGGCACTCTGATGACACGTTCTCTCAGTAGGCTCATGTGATGATTCGTTAGGCTGTGTGTTCAGTGGCAGGCTTCTCCTTAAGGAGGGGGACATGCCATCGTTCTGTGTAAGCCATGGTTTCGAAAGGAGCACTGATTCAGGTGAGGGGAAGCATCGCAAACATGCCCTTCACATTTCCTGGCTCTATTCCACTTTGATATTGGAGTCAAATGTGAGCCACTAATGGTTTTTGAGAAATAACACATTTTCTGTACGCGGAAGAGGCTGGGTCTTGCAGAACAGCCATCTCTGCATCATTTCTCGGATGGGCTCTTTATTTCCATGAGGGATGGTGGACAAGTTACAGCGTTGCCAGCTAGCTGGCCAGGTCGCTCAGAGAGGAGGGGCGCTGATCCCGCTGCTTGCCTGGTTGCTTCAATCTGCTTTACTTTAAACCTGCAGCTCAAGGATTTTTCTGAGCACAGTTTTGCTCAAAGTGAGTAGCAATTATGGAGGGATTGTCACGATTTTCCCCTTTGGACCCAGTGAAAGGCCTCAGTTGTATTGCAGTAGTCGGCTTGCAGAAGAAAACCTGAACCCCAAGCGCTGTCTCGGCCACCCCTGCTCTAGGCAGCTTCAGGCAGTTGTCTTGGCCTCCGGCTGCTCCATTCTTGAGCTACTCAGTCCAAAAATCCTGTAACAGTAACTGCACCTTTGTTGAGGAGTGTATTTGAAGATGTGTTTGTTGGCCGAGTATTTTTAGGATAGCATGAGTTGTCCACCATCCCTTTCTTCCAGCCTGTGCAAAACTGCATTTGCATGTCTCCAGAGCTTGTCTGGCTCAGAGACTGCGACGCCCTGGCTGCACCCTCTTCCTGCCACAGTTTCAGCCCCTGTGGCTAGTGGAGATGGATGCGGGACACACCTGGGTGGAGTGCGATCCAGCCTGTGAGGGCTCAGGACTGTGCCTATCAATGAGTGGCCAGTGAAATAGAATTTATTTCCTTCCTAGTAGCTTAGGTTCCCCCAGAAGTCAGCCCAGGACAAGGATTTCAGTGCTTATAGTTTATTTGGGAGAGGAAGGAAGAAAAGGAGGGGGGGAAGCCGACATAAGATACATTTAAAAGCAGGCTCCTACCGTGGGCCTGGCTCATTCCCCCAGGACCGCTTGGGGTGTCCACCTGCCAGCTGCCTTCCGTCAGAGGCCGAAGGCTGCTCCAGGGTGTCAGCTTCTTGCACCAGCTCTGCTTATGGACCACGTGTGCTCTGAGAGCCTCCAGCCTCGAGCAGGGCTGTGGATGCTGGGAGTAAGCAGCTGCC